GAGGCTGCTCATGTGCAAGTGACCCAATTTAAATGTTATTGCACTGAAACCGAAGGCCTCTTCACACTCCCCCCACACAGGCAATGTTGTGCAGCTGCAAGGGATCAGCAGCAGGCTCCGAACCACACAAGCCCTGTTCACGTGACAGTGAAAGCACATATATCCTGCACGTACCTGTGTGCATCTGTTTCTAAGAGAGAGACGTGCGTTCGTGAGAAACTAGAAGTAGTTTTGAACTGGGTGCTTACTAAACGAACGCATCTTCAAAATTAGCCGTGCTTTATTTAATTATGCTTTCTTCTAGCCCACATGCAATGTTAGCCTGCACTCAGTCAAACGAAATTTATGTGCTTCTGAGCTGACCTTTGCTTTATGGAATGCTAGGCTGAAGGCATGTAACGTGTGTGTGTGCCTGGGTATGACTGGGTCCACTGGAAGGCCGTGCAAAGGCAAGGCACAACCGCCAGATGAATCTGTTCCACTGCTTGCGGCAAACACAAGCTACAAAAGCAGAAGCTAATTTTTTTTTCCAGCTCGCAGAGACCTTAAAGGGGTATTACGTGTGTGACTGCCCCCCCCCCAACCTCTGCACTTCCACACTGGCATCTCGACTAGTGCGCGGGCAACCTCTGGCCAAGAGACTGAAGCTAACCCTGGATCAGGCTCCCCCAAGTCTCCACAATCAGCCCACCACAGCCTTCTGATAAGAGGGAAAGGAGGAGGTTTCACCAGACCATTCCAAATAGAGGTGTGGCACCACCCACCGGGATCTGGCTTGACTCCTACCTTGTTCCTTGAAAGGAGAAGGGCACAAAACCACACAGGGCACAAAGGGATATAAAAGCAGCAAAGGGGGAGTAGAATCTACTTTATTACCTGCCAGGGTTTTCCCATTTGAATTCTATCAGCTGCCTCACAAGCTGGCCTAGGTACATAAGGAGGCATGCCCGTGTACGAGGAGGTGTTTTGGAAATTTAGAAACTGATGAGCTTAATAAACATGACTTCTGCATTCAAGAACTCACTGCCTGGCTTTCGCTCCCTCTCCATATCCAGGGCTATTTTTGGGCAGGAACGCACAGGAACGGAGTTCCGGCAGGCTCCCAAGTTGGCAACGCCCAGCAGGAACTCATTAGCATAATAGGCCACACCCAACAGCAGGAACTCATTAGGATTGGCTACATTAGGAGGGTGTGGCCTAACATGCAAAGGAGTTCCTGCTACAAAAAAGCCCTGGGTTTTGACAACAAACAAGGTAAACAGAATAACAAGCAAAAGGAAGGTGTTGCTGGATAACCACACTTCTGGTAACATGAGGGTGCGACCTAATGTGCTAATGAGCTGTGCTGTCAGGGGTGTGGCCTAATATGCTAATGAGTTCCTGCTGTTGGGTGTGGCCTATTATGCTAATGAGTTCCTGCTGGGCTTTTTCTACAAAAAGAGCCCTGCATATATCACCTATGGGGGAAAGTCCCGCTGGGTCAGCGTGGATTTGGGCAAGGGTCTGATCACCCGTTCAGCCCTTTGACGCTGGGCCTGGTCTCATGCGGCCCGTGACATGTTCACTCTACAAGTGAAACCGAGGGCCAGTGCATGGAGAAATGTGGGGGTTAAAATCACATGTTCAGCAGTAGGTTGAGTTGAATGCAACATGACTATTACTCTACACAAGTTTAAAGAAAAATCAAGTATATACTATACATGGATTATACATGTGTTCAGTGTAATTTGTAAATGGGTACAGATATCATACAGAGGTGAAATTTACCTGTGTATGAATAAAAGTATCGCTGCTATCTGGGGCCTATATTACAGCATCTCTTCTACAAAGCTATCAAATATGCACAAATCAGTGCCTGCATTATAGGCCTTCTATGTGAACAAGGATGCTGCCTTCTATACTGGCCCATCCATCTTGGTATTGCCTGCCCTGACCGGCAGCAACTCTGTAGGCCTCCAGTGGGGGGAAAACCCTGCTGCTTGAGGACCTTTAAGCAGAGATTCCAGGGCTGAACTCACAACGATGTGTTCCACCACTGAGCCACAACCCCTTCCTTCCCAGGTGAGTTCATACAGCTGATGCTTCCACTGGATTCCCATGAGGTTTTGAGGCAGTTTGGTGCAGTGGTTAAGAGTGCAAACTCTAATCCGGGAGAACCAGGTTTGATTAACCTACTCTTCCACATGCAGCTGCTGGTGTGGCCTTGGGTCAGTCATAAGTTCTTTCAGAGCTGTTCTCTCAAGGGCAGTTCTCTAGAGAGCTCTCTCAGCCCCACCTACCTCACAGGGTGTCTGTTGTGGGCAGGGGAAGGGAAAGAAGATTGTAAGCCACTCTATGAGTAGTGAGGGAGGTGGGTATAAATCAAGTCTCTCCTTCTTCTCACCAGTAGCTCTCTTCTGTACTGCAGGTGGCCACTGAAACTACCAAAAGTCTGACCCAAGGAAAGCAGATCAGGGAAACTTTCAGAGTGTAGCCATGTTGGTCTGTAGCAGTTTTCCCTCTAAGCTGAATAAGTGTGAGCTAGCTCACAGTTTTTTAGCCTCCAGCTCACAGACTTTTGTCTTAGCTCAGGAAGGGGGACTCCAGAGCAAACTAATTTCTGCAGTAACCAAATCACTCGCTCACAACTTTAATGCCAGTAGCTCACAAAGTAGCATTTTTGCTCACAAGACTCCACAGCTTAGAGGGAGCTTTGGTCTGTAGTAGAAGAGTTAGATTAGAGTCCAGTAGCATCTTAGAGACGAACGAGATTTTTGGGGGTATGAGCTTCCACTAGTCAAAGATCAGGGGAAACGCTTCCCAACAAACAGCAAGCTGTTGACACAAGAGTTCCTCTTCAAATACACAATCCTCCAAGTGCATTTTGATGCAGCAGAATTCTGGGAGAAGACTTGTGGCCTATGGTTTCTTGAACAGATTCAGAGAATATGACCTCTCCAGGACTCATGGTAACTGCAGGGTGCTGAACTCAGGCCACTCACAAATACCCAACATGTATCCAACCATGCAGTTCCTCTAATGGAACAGCCTTTCCATTTGCAGAAAAGGGGGTGGTGATCTGCACCAATTCCCCCCTCCTACTGCTAACCCCCACTTTGTTCCGATGCTCTTCCTGAGCCTCCCCCCCAATAGAATTTCAGGGGACTCGAAGAGCTACAGCAGGAGGGAGGGAACATGAAAGTCCTGCTCTGTGAAGTCCACAGATGGTTGGACGTATCCCACCGAAAGAAAGGACCAATTCAGACACTGCCCATCAAGATGCATGTCTAAACCCCGACAGCCATTTTGTTTATAGAAACACAGCTCCAACTGAACGGGAGAGTTTACAAGAGAGAACTGGTGGGGATTTAACTCCTTCCCCGTTCAAATGCCCTACGGTTTACAAATCTTTCTTCTCCCTGTAAGAGAAGGGTAATGTTGACCTTAGTGTGGCTTGGTTTTCTTCCTAAAATACCCCTAGACTATTCACCAAAATACACTTTATTTCTTACACTGGCCAGATCTAATTTGATGTTTTAAAACTGCACCATGCTTTATCAATGCATATAAACAACATTCACACGTGCAATCAAGGAGCATAAAATACTTAAATTAAAACATTCCCTGGTGTAATTCAAAGGCTTGGAGGCATCACCAGTTATGGACACAGCTCACTCCAGCCGCTGATGGTCCCACATTGAAGTCCCAAGTGCATAAGATATACACGTAACCTTCTTTTTTTGTACTGGGAGGGTTGCCAGAACAGCTAGACTGAATTCTGTAAAGGAAGGAATTTCCTTCACTAGTAAAAATAGCCAAGCATAGACAGAAGGTACATTAGCATTTGTTCCCCCCCCCCCCAAAATGCCCAGTATCACAGACAGAAAATACTTTCAAGGGTTTCCAGATTCCAAATAGAGGAGAAAAAGAAATTAACAGCAGAGAAAACTTCTATTTAAGGCTAGCATTCTGTGCACAGTTACTAGGAATAAGACAGTTAAGCGGAGCTTCCTTCCCAGGAAGCACACATTAAATCAGACTGCAGTTGCGTAAAGGCACTTTGCCAGCAAGCCAAGCAGCATTATTTCTCTTGCTTCCTTCTCAACAAATTACCAGGAAGACCACAAAGGCACAGGTCAAGAAAGAAAGACTGCTGTTGTCTTGGCCAGCATGCCGAGTGCACGGGGCCGAAGAATGAGTTCCTGGATGGGACAGGCTGAGGAAGAGAAAGGGGCCAGTGCTGAGCAGTGAGGGGAAAGGGCTCCATGAAAAGTTGTAGTCAGCACTTGAACCAGCCAAGGACTTAAGCCCTGGTCCCCTGGAATCTTGTTCAGCTTCCCCTCTGGCTTCTAGGATTTTGGCATACGTTGCCTCCCATATTCCCAAGCACATTGTTGCAATCGTAAGGACTATTAACTCGGTTTTTAAAAATTAATTATGTGCTTCTCAATAAGCAGAGTTCTGTACCCAACACCACAAATGGCACTTATTCTGTACTTATGATGAACGCACCCAAGAACATAAGAAGAGCTCTGCTGGATCAGACTGGTGGTCCACCTAATCAGGCATCCTGTCACGCACACAGTGGCCAACCAGTTCCTCGACACAGAGGTGCTGGGATCCAGAGGCTGTGATTAAGAAGCTGACTGCCTCTGAACGTGGAGGGAACCCTTTAGTCACCGTGGCTAGTATCCAGTGATAGACCTAGATAGACAAGCTTGATCAGTCATCAAGAACATGATCTGTCAACAGGTGTCCAATACCGCTGTCCAGAATCTTTTAAACAGGATCTTTTAAAAATCTGCTACTCAGGACTCTTTGAGATAAAGACACAAGGAAGCTTCAGGACCGGACATCTGGAAATCCCCTTATGCCACAAAGCAAAAGCTCCTTAAAAGCGGCAGCCTTCTGATCTTATAATGTTTCAGCTAGCAGACCTGCTGCAGCTGTTAACCGCTTAAACTCCGTGATAGAGAACTGTCAAGGAAATAGAAACAGGAGTCGTAGAAGCAAGGGGGTGAAGCTCAGATGAACAAGAAGCTGTGAACAGAAGGGCATGAACAAGTGTCCAGCTGGCGAACTCTCTCCCAAGTTCCCCTGCATCGGGGATTCCCCACGGCCTGCCAGTGTAGTTGCTGGTTCCTGGAACAAAACAAAAAAACACAAGTCTTGAAGCAACACGTTACCTTCTTTCTTTCTTCAAGGACTACCTTCTCACTGCTGGGTCAGTCAGAAATAAAATACATCGGTCACAGACAGTTACTTAGATGGTTGTACAATCCTGTTTATCAGAGGCTAGAGATTTGGACCAGGATCTGGGGAAATGGGTTCGAATCCCCCACTCCACCGTGGAAGCTGACTGAGTGACTTTGGGCCAGTCACTCTTCTCTCAGCACAACTCACCTCACTGGAATGTTGTTGTGAGGGAAAAGGGGAGACTGGGAGAATGATATTGCAAACTGTTTTGGGAACCCACTGAGGAGAAACGGGGGGTATAAACAAAGTCAGCAAACCAGCAAAACAAACCTTTAAAGTTCAGTTAATCCTTGGACACATGACATGAGGGTCTTCCAGAAATTCCCAGTATGTGCTCTTGGCAGTGGGTTGGATCCAGTGGTAGATTTCCATTAAAAGAAACCGGGGGGGGGGGGGGGTGCGCTTTCCACTGCAGGTTCTGATGTTCCTGGGCTTCCCCTGTCTCCCTGGAGCAGTATTTTAGGGAAACCTTTGGCCTGAGAAATGCGGGGGAGGCCAGAAAGTCCCATTCTGCTGACAGAAATCCCTTCCATTGAATCCAACCTGGTCATTGTTACTTAGCCATGAATCACCTAGTGCCATTTTTTAAAAACACTCTTAAAATCACTGTATCATTTTAAAGACGGCCTGTTTACTTGGCTTGAAAAAGGTGCGCTCTGAAGAAAAGCTTAACCACAGAGAGGGAGCCAGCAGCAGATAAGTTCTATGGAACTCTCAGAATCTACTTCTGAATTCAGAATTCACTGCCACAGGAGGTGGTGGCAGCTACAAGCATGGACAGCTTCAAGAGGGAATTTGATAAACATATGGAGCAGAGGTCCATCAGTGGCTATTAGCCACGAGGTATAGATAGCAACTCTCGGTCTGGGGCAAGTGATACACTGTACTCTAGGTGCTGGGGGGGCAACAGTGGGAGGGCTTCTAGTGTCCTGGCCCCACTGATGGACCTCCTGATGGCACCTGGTATTTTTGGCCACTGTGTGACAAAGTGTTGGACTGGATGGGCCATTGGCCTCATCCAACATTGGCTTCTCTTATGTTCTTACTTTTTCACCTGACTGGGTATCACGGAAATACAAGAGGAAGAAAAAGAGGAGGAGGAGGAGGAAGAAGAAAAAGTGAGGAAGGTGCCATCGCTGCAACTGACTCATGGCAACCCCATCCACAGGGCATTCCAGGCAGTCAGACCTTTAGACCCAAGTCAAGATCTTGCCTACCCAAAGAATCATGTTATCAATATACTTGATTTTTAAAAGCCACTTCAAATGCAGTGATTGTTCTATAAGCAAACCATGTCTGTGTTCATGGAAGATGCACTTGGAGCACCAGGTAAAACAGCAGCACCATCTTTTCCCACTATTTCACACGTGCACACTGTATATGCACAAGGGAGCCACATCCAACCACTATTTCCCAGCATGTGTACACACACTGATAAAAACGCATAGTGCACCCACCACATTGAATAATCTACATGTGGCTTTCCTACACAGGAGTGTGCCTTCCACTTATGGAATTTTAACATCTTACAAACAGCATTCATCTTTCTGCAACCTGTAAGGGCCGTGGGGACAACACAATGGCAGAGACATACAACAGCGTACAACTAATATTCAAATTGCTTTCCACTATGACCCTTAAAACTTCTGCCTTGAGGTACCCTGCCTGGTGTTAAGATTCAGGCCCACAGCAGGTCTCGAACTGAGAACCGAAAGGAGGCCCTGAGGACCAACCTGTGCCCTTCCTATCTCAGGAACAGGGAACTGCAGGAAGATCAGCCACAGACACCTCTTTGCACTAATAGGCCACAGTGGGTCAAGTGGCATTCTTTGATCCTTATAAAAAACTCCTGATTGGGCAAGTTTGCTCAGCAATCTGAGTTCTGCTGTCAGAAAACTTTATTTGCCTTGAACTACCAGGAATTGGGTCTGACCCCTTCCTTTGCAAGTTAGGAGAAAGATATATTCACAGGCTCAGCCATCTTGTCCCTTCACTGTACACTTGCTGAAGAATGCATGATCTTCAAGGCACACGGGTTCCTCCACCCATCCTAGAGAGCTTCCCAGCTGCTCTCCCTCCTCAAAAAAAAATCAAGATTGACACATCCTTATGCTGCCATGTCCCATAGTTGATTGGGTCAATGCCTCAATGCCTATTTCTGGAAGGAGGGGGGGAAAAAGAAGGAAAGGAATATTGCCAAGGAAGCCCACCACGAGAAGTGACCTTGGGAGACATTCCAAGCGTGGCTCAGCTGATTCAACACCACTCTTTGAACGGAACTGTACACACGCAAGACTAAAATTAGAGCAATCCATTAAGCCAGCTTCATAACTATTCCCAGGAGACATGGTAAGAGCTGTCACTCTGAGGGGCCTAACTTGTTTCGACACGCACACCAAACAAGCTGAATGTCAACCCCAAGAGGAGATCGCAGCAGACAAACCAAAACAGCCAAAAACAAACTCTCATATTTTTTGTATTGACGTGAAAGACAAATTCTAGCCAACAGGAGAAATCTCTTTGCTCACTTTCGAGGAAGACGGGTGGCCAGGGGAGAAGCCAGCACTGGGAGACTCCAGCTATAAAATAAAGGCCTCAAAGTGGTAAGGAACAAATTAACAAAAACAGTGTGATTCTGAAAGCTGGATTTACTCCCAGACTTCAGCAAGTCTGGGAAAACTCCATCTTGATTGAAGCAGCTTGGATTTTTTTTTTTTTAATGAAAAGCCCCCTGGCCACATTAAGGGGTTAGGTGTTGCTCTTTAATTATCAAAGTTCAACACAAGTTAAGGCTAAGTAGGATTTCTTTTGTTCTCATAGCTCCATTTTCATTTGGACTTGGGGACCTGATCAAGGCAACAAAAGCACGTTCCTGCTATGCATACCAGCTTTTCAAGGAGCAAGGACACAAGAGCAGCTAAGCAGGTTTGGCAAGGGAATGGGACAGAGGCAAAACACTGGACTACATACCCTTTGGATCTTTTCCCCACTTTTGGAAATACTTGCTACTTACATGGTACATATCTTTCCTCCCACATGAGCCTCCCCTTGCCTTCTTCACATTATGAAACCTAGCCCTCCTTTGCATTCCATCCTTTCCTCAAGTAAAGTCAAAGTGAGACATAGCAGGGCCTTTTTGGTTGTGGCATATAACCTTTCGAATATTCTTCCAAGGAACTTCAAGATGGTTCCCTCCGTGTATGTGAGCAAGGGTAGTTAAAGAACACTATTTTTTCTTTAGCTCTGGTTTTGGTTAATTTTATTAGTAGAAGATTCGCTTCAGTTTTTAACATTAATATAACTAAGTGGCAAAGGTTTAATAAATACACATCCTGTGCTGGAGGAGAAAAAATCTCATATAGACAGCCACTTTGAAGATTTTCAATATGACAGCTGTGTATTTTACCAAAACTGTGGTAAGCAAGCAAACGAACTGGAGAGAGATACATACACACACACACACACACACACACACACACACACTGTAGTATTCAAGAACTCAGGAAATAAACATTGATACACAGACACAAGCAGTTTTATCCCACTTTAAATGATTCATTCATAAACATACCCCTGATATTGTCTACTTTCAGAGTATTTATACTACAAACTGGTTTCAACAGTCAGTCCCTCTCACCAAGGGACCATGGGAGGTGTAGTTCTGTCACACGGTCTGGAGTTTCTAACAGAATTCTCAGCATCCTGAAACTACAGGCCCAAGGAGTCCTTGGAGAAATGCAGTTCAATACACTGTGCCACAAGTGGAGGAGCCTGTTGCACCTTGGGAAGGTTCCTTCCGCCAGGGGAAAGTGCTGCCATTACTAGAACATGTCCAGGGGATCCAATCCTCTCTGTTGGAAACCTATAACTTGCAGCAGTTTTTGGTCTTGTCTCACCTCATGTTTTATTTGGCTTCAAGGTCTTCCGAAAAGAAAACACATTATGTCAAGTTTTAAACAACTGCTGTTTACATTTTACCTGCATTTTATGGCCTCTTCTGACATAGTTGTGGTTATTGCTCTCTATAAAATAAAACCAACCCCCCAACAATTTTGCAGCCTTTATACCCAACAAAAAGGGAAATACCTAACAGCCTTGTTAAAAAGCCACAGATAAAACCCTGCCTAAAAAAGGTATTACTGGCCAAAATAGCAGCTTTGCAATATAGAATGTATTTACAGCCCTTAATAATTCTGGTTTATGTTTAGTGCTTAAAACAAACCAGTTTATATATTTAAGGAGTCCTGGGACAAGGTACCCTAGAAATACTGACATAATAATAAGTCAAGGCAGAATTGGCTTCACGTTGTTATGGGCTGATCTAGTCGAGGCAACACACTTCCCATGTACAGGGATGGCACACACATACCTATGTGCAATGTTTGCAACATGAAGTAACAACTTGCATTTGGTGAATCGGCCACCACAGTCCTGACACTTCAACAGAAGACATGACTCAGTGACGGAGCGCCCGCTTTCCACACTGTAGGTCTCAGGCTCAATTCCTGGTACTCGCAAGTAGGATCCCAGGTTCGAGATACTGCAAGACCTTTCTCTGCCTGAGACCCTGGAGAACCACTTCCAGTTAAAGTGCAAATGATTGAGCTAGACAGGCCAACAGTCTTTGTATGAGATAGCTTTGTACATATCTAGAAATGGGAACAGGCATGGTTTAAGGGATAAGGTGGGGCTCAGCAGCAGAATATGTTGCATGGAGGAATCCCCGGGTTCCTTCCTTGGCATTTCCAGGTAGGAGATCAAGTAGCAAGTGTTGGGAAAGATCTCTCTTGATCTTTGAGAGTACACAGTACTAAGCTAGGAGGTAGTTCCGCTCTATTCTGCTATGGTCAGGCCTTACCTGGAGTACTGTGTCCAGTTTGGGGCACCACATTTTAGGAAGGCTGTTGACAAGCTCGAGCGTGTCCAGAAGAGGGCAACCAGGATGGTGAGAGGGTTGGAATCCAAGTCTTATGAGGAAAGGCTGAAAGAGTTGGGTATGTTTAGCCTGGGAAAGAGAAGGCTTATTGGGGACATGATTGCAGTCTTCAAATATTTGAAGGGCTGTCATGTAGGAGCAGATCTATTCTCTCTTGCTCTGGATTGCAAGACTAGATCTAATGGGTGGAAATTACAAGGGAGTCGATACGGGCTAAATATCAGGAGAAACTTCCTAACTGTAAGAGTAGTTGAACAGTGGAACAGACTGCCTCCTTCACTGGATGTTTTCAAGCACAGGCTGGACGACCATCTTTCGGGTATGTTGTAGGGCTATTTTTCGGCTATGCTCCTGCAGAGTGCAGGGGGTTGGACTAGATGACCTGCAAGGTCCCTTCCAACATTCTATGACTCTATGACCAATGGTCTCAGTTAGCATAAGACAACTTGTGTATGCGACACCATACACAAACCACAACACTTTTCAGTGGAGTTGGTTCACACATCCAAGCACCAGTCACCAAGTGTAATCACATATCTTTTTAATATTGTAAATCTGTATTAACTGCAGATACATATATGTTGTTACCCGCCCTGAGCCTACAATGTGGGGAGGGAGGGCTATAAGTCTAATGAAATAAATAAATAAATAAATAAATAATATGAATGCACTTATGAACTGCCCCCAGAAACTGTTCCTTGAAGTGGCATCAAGCTGAGCATAAGAACAGGAGAGACTTCCACATTAGCAGCATATTTGGTATAGCTACCATTATGAAAAAAAATCCCAACGTTTTAGGTAGAAACAGGCCTGTTTTGCTTTGAAAAGAGGCACAAAAGCTGCATCATACAGAGATGAGTAAAGTAGATGAACATCTCAGATTGAGGGTGGGGGAGTATCAGCATACAGGTGTCACACCTTGGCCATTTGTCACAATGACCCATCAGCTATTAGCCTCAGCAGAGATCGGTGAAGGATTTCCCTAGCCTCAAACCCAATACTTCCCCCCCCCCGTACCCGAAACACCTGTCTCCATCGTAGGATGACTTGGAACCTCCCAATATTTTATGATTAGCCTCAACATCCAAGGCAGCCATTTTGTGGTTGGCTGCACCTGTCATGTGGTACTGCTCACTCAGTATTCTCAAAATTCTCAGAAGAACACACAGGCTCAGCAAGGTTGGGGACTTCTGGCCAAAGTGGTGACAGATCGCTACCCAAATAGTAGCAGCTTTGGGATCCTAGAGGGCTGGGGCATGTAAAGATGCCCACCAAATTCAGAGAGAAACATGGGGAACTGAAACAGCTACCAAATTCATGACCTCTAATAGTAACGTTGTGGTGCACATGCAGAATGGGGCCAAGAACAAAGAAAAGAGAGGCTTCCACATCATGTTGTCTTTGCCAACAGCCAGACATTGTTTTCCTCCTCCCCAGTTCTGGCAAACAATGTCTACACCACAAGAATGACGAGAGGAAAGAATCCAGGTGGGTAGCCAGTTTGGTGTAGTGGTTAAGTGCACGGACTCTAATCTGGCAGAACCGGGTTTGATTCCCCACTCCTCCACCTGCAGCTGTTGGATGACCTTGGGCAAGCCATAGTTCTGTCAGAGCTGTCCTTGAAAAAGAGCAGTTTCTGTCAGAGCTCTCTCAGCCCCACCTACCTCACAGGGTGTCTGTTGTGGGGAGGGGAAGGGAAAGGAGTTTGTAAGCCGCTCTGAGACTCCTAGTGAAGGGTGGGGTATAAATCCAATCTCTTTTTCTTCTAGCCATGTTGGTCTGAAGCAGCAGAACAAAGTTTGACTCCAGTGGCACCTTTAAGACCAACAAAGTTTTATTCAAGGTATAAGCTTTTGTGTGCACACACTCTTCTTCAGATACCTAAAGGAGCAGCTGCATCATACAGAGATGAGTAAAGTAGATGAACATCTCAGATTGAGGGTGGGGGAGTATCAGCATACAGGTGTCACACCTTGGCCATTTGTCACAATGACCCATCAGCTATTAGCCTCAGCAGAGATCGGTGAAGGATTTCCCTAGCCTCAAACCCAATACTTCCCCCCCCCCGTACCCGAAACACCTGTCTCCATCGTAGGATGACTTGGAACCTCCCAATATTTTATGATTAGCCTCAACATCCAAGGCAGCCATTTTGTGGTTGGCTGCACCTGTCATGTGGTACTGCTCACTCAGTATTCTCAAAATTCTCAGAAGAACACACAGGCTCAGCAAGGTTGGGGACTTCTGGCCAAAGTGGTGACAGATCGCTACCCAAATAGTAGCAGCTTTGGGATCCTAGAGGGCTGGGGCATGTAAAGATGCCCACCAAATTCAGAGAGAAACATGGGGAACTGAAACAGCTACCAAATTCATGACCTCTAATAGTAACGTTGTGGTGCACATGCAGAATGGGGCCAAGAACAAAGAAAAGAGAGGCTTCCACATCATGTTGTCTTTGCCAACAGCCAGACATTGTTTTCCTCCTCCCCAGTTCTGGCAAACAATGTCTACACCACAAGAATGACGAGAGGAAAGAATCCAGGTGGGTAGCCAGTTTGGTGTAGTGGTTAAGTGCACGGACTCTAATCTGGCAGAACCGGGTTTGATTCCCCACTCCTCCACCTGCAGCTGTTGGATGACCTTGGGCAAGCCATAGTTCTGTCAGAGCTGTCCTTGAAAAAGAGCAGTTTCTGTCAGAGCTCTCTCAGCCCCACCTACCTCACAGGGTGTCTGTTGTGGGGAGGGGAAGGGAAAGGAGTTTGTAAGCCGCTCTGAGACTCCTAGTGAAGGGTGGGGTATAAATCCAATCTCTTTTTCTTCTAGCCATGTTGGTCTGAAGCAGCAGAACAAAGTTTGACTCCAGTGGCACCTTTAAGACCAACAAAGTTTTATTCAAGGTATAAGCTTTTGTGTGCACACACTCTTCTTCAGATACCTAAAGGAGCCACTGGACTCAAACTTTGTTCTAGAGAAAAGGAAACAGAACTCTGCCTGAGCCAGCCTAACTGAGGAGGACCATTTACCCCTCACCGTCCACCGTGAGGCAGCCATGTCATTTCCCACTCAGACTCCTGAGGGATACATATGGCATTTCTCCCCACAATCTGTGGGGAATTGGGGGGAGAACTGGTAGTACACAGGTTCCCCCTTTTCATTTACTAGAGGGGCTATCCGATTTCACAGTTCAGCCCCTAAATTCTACAGGTTATGTAGAACTCCGGCAACCAATAACATTTTCTGGCACAAGTATCATACTGAACAAGAAATAATCCTTACTTTTTGGCTCCACTGCCATCCCCGGAGCAGTGCAAACTCCGGGATTCCAAAGCCGGATGCTGGCACTCCACACAGACAATGTGTCCTTCACTGAGATATTTCATCCAGTGAGTGTATGAACTGTTCCCATGCAGACAACCTTTTGTGATAGCCAGGAGCTGAAATTCAACACAATACCTGCCAGAAAGAGAGAGGAACGACTGATGATCATTCACTCAAAACAGCAGACACAAATGATAAACTTCTTTCTAGAACATATCATTTCAGCCTGAAGACAGATTGAATAGCTGAATACTTTTCCATATTTAAACCCTTCGGTACATAGAAAACTAGACATTACAGAGCAGCATTCTAGCCTCAATTTCTCCCCACTGTACTAGTTTTGTATGTATACAAAATGATTGGGATTTCTTTTGTTTTCACCATGGAAACGTTGCCACGAAAACCAAACATGTGACACACATACACGTAACTAGCCTGAAATAGTACAGTCCAAGAACAGAAAAACCTTTTTCTACGAAATGACCCCTGACTAGCTATAAAGACCAGTACAAATTAGGAATTAGACTGAATATTTGGGGGAGGGATCTTTGTATTTGTGGCATCCTATTTTAGAAGGCTTGTTCCCCACCCAATCGTAAATGATCATGTACTCTGTTGCATCTGAGGAAGTGAGGTCAGAGTCATGAAAGCTTATGTGGGAATAAATTCTGTTAGTCTTTAAGACAGCCCTGGAGTCCCATTTTATTCCACTGGAGGCAGCAAACCATGGAAGCCCAAGCCAATAGAAACAAAACATGCAAGGATGCCACTTCAAAATGTAATGGTATATGTGAGGAATCTGGTCATTGTGGGTTTAGAAGAGAGGTCCCCAACCTTTCTGAACCTGTGGGCATCTTTGGAATTCTGAGACAGGGTGGTGCGTGCAACTACAAAATGGCTGCTGCAGGAGGCCGAGCCAACTACAAAATGTCAGAGAGCAGTAACACTTCCAACATTTCAAGCAGAAGTTCTGTTTAGCAGGCTGCCTTTTATAACAAACATATTATTTAAAAACAGGAGTCATTTCCTGCAGGTGCGCACAGGAGCGGCGCTCCGGCAGTAAAGAGCCCAGGGGGCGGGCACATGCAACAAGCCCCACCCCCTGCTCCCAGCAGCCCTCAGTCAGAGCAAGAAGCAGCCAGGCATGTTGCAGAGCCTCCCCCCGGCCCCCAGTCCAAAACAGTCCAGTGGCACCTTTAAGACCAAGTTTTATTCAGGTACAAGCTCTCCCTCCTCTGCGAGGACAGATCTGCACATTCCCCCCCCCCCCAATAGCTAGCAATCCAAAATAGTCCAGTGGAGCCTGAGTGGTGGGTGTTGCCTTCTGACACACTTCTGGTGATGTCAGGGGGGGTGGCATATGCAAATAAGTTATGCGAATGAGTTATGCTAATGAGCTCCTGCACCTCTTTTTCCACTAAATGACTCGTTTAAAAATATTCTGTTGCATACACACAGCTTATCGTCAGTCACACAGTACGGTCCTTGTGCTGTGGTGGCAGCTGCTGTTAGAGCAATCAGATCTTCAGTGGTCAGTCAGAAGTCCTGCTGGGTAAAAGCCCCACCACCTTCTAAAAACACTTGGCGGTGCCAGGATAGATGTCAGTGGGCACCATGTTGACGGCCCTTGGTTGAGACCGCCACATAAGGCCGAACTCTACAAATTGAGACTAGCATTGTTCACTATGGGCCAGGCAGCACAGCGCATGTCCCAAAGGCCTGTAGTGGACAGCATTTTTGTACACTGCAATACTTACCCAGCTCTTTCATTTTCATTAGAGGCCGCACGCTTCTTCCTTGCCTTCCCATAGCCTCCTGTAGTTATTAATGCGGGGACTGCTCACACCAAAAGGAAGAGGAAGAACAATAGATGTCGTAAGTGACAACATTGCCCCAAGCCTGAAAAACAACAAAGGTTGGGGCACTTGTGGCCTCTAGAGCCATGTAACTTTCCCTCTGGCAAGAACCCAGGAGTAGCTCTCCCCACCGTTTTTCAAATCCCCAGAGATTATCTCATTCCACGGGACAGCAATATATCTTCTCCACCCCCCACATCTCAGTTTTGCCAGCAAAAACACGCCTGCTTATCATTCCCATAACAAGGACGTGGGAGGAAGCTATTTTAATAGTAATTCTCAGCAGGTCTGGCAGAGAACACATTACCATTAAAAAATATACCATCTGAACTCTGCTCCGGCCCACAGGTTATATTTTGGTTTCAAGAACAGAGGGTTTTTCAAAAAAAACAACAGCAGCACACACACACACACACACGGGAAAGAAAATCATACATATTTTTAGTCTAACAAATCACTGTAATATATTGTTCACCTCAGAGAAGAACCAGGGGTGAGGAGAGACAGCACAGTGGGCCACATTCACTTGCAGTTCGGTCTGACTGCCAAAAACAACACTGGTGTCATTTTGATTGCGCTACTCACTTTTACTCGAGCACAACAAAGGGGTACAAAGCAGTTGAGAAGGTAAGAGATCCACAATTTGAGCTCCCTGGGGAGAGCCAGTTTGGTGTAGTGGTTAAGTGGGCGGACTCTAATCTGGGAGAACCGGGTTTGATTCCCCACTCCTCCACTTGCACCTGCTGATGTGACCTTGGGTCAGTCACAAGCTCTGGCACAGCTGTCCTTGAAAAAGAGCAGTTTGTGTCAGAGCTCTCTCAGTCCCACCCACCTCACAGGGTGTCTGTTGTGGGGAGGGGAAGGGAAAGGAGTTTGTAAGCCGCTCTGAGACTCCAAGTGAAGGGCGGGGTATAAATCCAATCTCTTCTTCTTCTTCTCAAGAACCGTTATTGCCATACAGGGACCCCAGTTTGGATACAGGCAGCACAGGGAAGGGAGAGGTTTCACTCCCATGCTGATTCACACAAAAAAGAAACCACTATAGATCAGAGGTCGATTCGGGGGGGATCGCAGGGGATCACAGTTCCCCCGGGTGAGGGGCGGGGGCGGGGCACAAGACAAGGCCCCGCCCCCTGCTTTTGCCCGCCCTGCTTCCGGCCCTCATTCAGCCAGGAGGAGGCAGGAGAAGAGGGAGGGTAAGTTGCTTCCTCCCTGCCTCTCCCCACCCCTGCCTGCCTAGGGCCAGGGAGGGCCTTGGCGGGGCTTCCTCGCACTCCCGCCGGCCTTGCAGGTCCACCGCCGGGCCCCTGATGTCAGGGGGTGTGGCATATGCTAATGAGTTATGCTAATGAGTTCCCCTAGCTCTTTTTCTACGAAACGACCCCTGCTATAGATGAACACTGCATGCTGTTATAGCCCCTTTTCGATTCAAAGAATTTACAACGGCATGGGGTAGGTGGTTTTAAGCAGTGAAACTGTGCAAGGGTGGAAGGATTGGGGGGGGGGGAACCCCATATATCCCCAATCATGCATGGTGGTTAATGTGTTTTAAAAGATGCCTGGAGATCTATGATCTAATTCAACCCCCGGAGGGAAAAAAAAATCTGGTTCAAAAGTTGTATGAGCAAACAGCTTGGTTCAAAAAGAAATAAGAGGGATAGTAGGATGCTAGGCTTGCCAACCTCCAGGTGGGGCCTGGAGATCTCCTGGAATTACAACTCACTTCCAGAATACATAAATTCCTTATTATTTACCTGTCTAAAACATTTATTCCACTTCATGGCATTACACCCCACTGAGGTCCCTAAACCTCACTCTCCCAGGCCCCACCCTCAAATCTCCAGGTTTTTTCAAACCCAGAATTGGCAGCCCTAGCCAAGCTGCAGCGCAGGCCTTCGTGAGTGTCTAAGAAACAAGGAAAGAGTCCCGTGTCGCTTACGAAGGGCACAAGGATGACAACACGCACGACAACACGCACATACTTCCTTTCCATATTTCACGTGATAAATCACTGAGAGAACCTCTACTTTTAGCCAATTTGCCAATTCCACACACTGAGTTACTATAATAGGCAATGAAAACCAAAGGGTCTGTGCCCTAGCCAATGCGCTGTAGCAGTCAGAGCACTTCGACTAGGACAGGTAGGTTCATATCCCAGAATAAAGCCAACTGTCTCTGTCTCTCTCTGCCTCACTGTCTCTCTAGCCAACCTACCTCACCGGGTTATTGCAAGGACAGACTGAGGGAGAAGACAACTATTTCTGCCATCCCTGATATCTGAGGTGAGAGGGGAGGATAAAAATGTGTTTATGTGCGTGTAAGACAGAAATATGTGGCAATGGTCATAGAATCATAGAGTTGGAAGGGACCTCCAGGGTCCAAATCCTTTCACTTAAAAGAAGAAGATCCAAACGTATGGATGACATCATTATAGTCATCCTGAAATCTTTTAAAAGATCGTTTAGAATGTACCGTTTTTACTCAACGTAACCGGGGCGGTCTCAGCCATGGGTTAGCCAGGGCAGCCACCCCACTCCCCAGGCTGAGCAGGGCCTCAGGCACCCAAGGCCTCACCCACCAATGGAGGAGGAAAGAACAGGCTCTCACCACCACATGGACCTGACTCCAGGACTGCCCTTTGGGCCTGGTGGGGGTGGGGCGGAGGAGGTGCAGTAATTCGGGGACTTTATCCTGGACTTTTGCCCTGGGCCTCTGAATCACCAAGACAGGCCCCGAATGTAACCTTAATATGTTCACGAGCCAAGAAGCTTCTCCCCTGCTCAGTGCAGCCTCTGAAACAGTAACCTGTCCCCACCACACTCACGGAAGGACTGCTTGCATTCTTGCCCCTGCCGATTCCAGTATTCCAAGCAGCCAGCCTTCTCCTCCAGAGGGGGACACGCTTCGCCTCCATTTCTCGGTTCCTGGATGACACGCCTCCTTCGAACCCGATAGGTCGCCTTACAAGGCTCTGCACAGCCGCTCCATTCACTCCACTCAGAGACCACACAGGGGACCACTGTGGGAGGGAAGCGAGAATAAGAGAGACGTACCGCCTTCTGCACATTGCCTCCACACACAGCTGCATACAAGCTGCTCAGCAAGAAGCAGCATGGGAGACCTTAAGAGTCTGATGAAGTTTCCAAACCCAGGTGGGACTCAAGAACATTTCCACTACATGCCCACCACTACTTCCCTTGGCACCCACCAAGCTTCTCAGAAAGTGGGCAGGGTTTGTTATTGGCTGCCCTCATTCAAATGAAAGAGTTTTTCACTGGAGGATCAGAAGTACTACTAAGCTTTCCTTAGTCAGTGTGCGGCTGTTCAGACTTTCCTTCTTCCCAGGAGGTGGGGGGGTATTGCATTTGGCTCCACTTCCTTTGACAGCCATTTTGAGTTGGGCTCCACTTCCTGTGGCAGCCATTTTGGACAGCTGTTCACCACCCCCTCTCAGGATTCTAGAGGTGCCCAGAGGCTCAGAGAGGTGAGACCCTGGGTTAGGTGACAGGAATTCAGGGGGTGATCACCAGTGCTCTATGCCCCTCCACGTAACTAACTGAAGATGATAAAGCTGACGCAAAACTCACAGTTTCAAGTATATCTGCTAAACTGATACTATTGCACGTTGCAGATTATGAGATAAATATTAATTTGTGGGGAGAGCGGTATAAAGGCATAATAATTAATAATAATTATAATAATATAGACATTTTCATACACACTGAACAATGTACTTTCAATCACCTTTCAATGCACTTTAGTTTTACACAGTAAAATCCAGTTGCTAGGTGCACTGAAAGTGTATTGAAAGTGCATTATTCAGTGTATATGGAAGTGCTACATTTTTATCCCACCTTTTGTCACACAGCGCAGTCCTGAAAGCCAGGTTAATCCAAGAAATAACAGCTAGCACCAGATCTGGAATTTGAAGCCAAGTCCAACGACTATATGGCGCAGTCTTGAAGCACAGTTCCCAGATCTGGGCATAGGATGCCAAATGGCTTCGACACTGCAAATCACTCTTTGCAAAAACCTACAGCACAGGACAGCCTGGTGCCAATATTTAAAACATACACTTCCAAACAATCCCATTAATTCAGTTGAGGTTAATTTCTAGACTAAACTTCAGGTTTATAGATATGAATGGGTCAACTCCTCTGATGAGAGCTATGCTTTCATACCTGCTAACTCCAATACTCCCGAGGAATCCGTAGCACTTGATTTACTGGATGCAGAATGTATGATCAGTTATACCTAGTTTCGATTAGAACCAAGATCTGTTGAATTATCAGTCACACCTTTCATTTCCTATAGGTCATTGCCTTTGTTTACCAAGAAATAAGCTGAAGCAGGTCTTCAATTTCAATCAGAAACCAAGGTTTGAAGGCTGGGTACAGTTATGGTTGCTTAGCAACCTCCACAATGGCCAAGCAGAGGGCACGGCTTCTGTTATTGGGGGAGGGTTAAACAGACAATTTTTATTTTATTTTTATTTTATTGAGATTTCAAAGGTTTATTTTTTGCAAACCAGAAACATTTTTTCGGTTCATAGAAATATCTGTTTTGTCTGTTCATGTAAAGTATGTACAGATTTGGCCACATTGAGAATTTATAAAGTTCATTTCTCTGGAGTACTGGTTTAGTATATTTTTTGTTAGGAGATTTAATGATAATGCTGTATACTCAGTGGGTGGTAATGAAACGTTAAGAATCTGTGACATAATAGACTCAGATCATTGAACTAATGTCCCACTTTGAAGGACAAGTTCATAGTAGTAGTATACTTTATTGTCATTGTACATAGTACAATGAAATTAAAGATGCAATCATTTCGGTGATCTACAACAATAATCATATACACTCACACACCATTCACTACTGTCCCATAACTCCTTTAAGGTTCACATAACAACTTAAAACCACCAATGTCACCCAAATTCCAATTTCATACAGCATTTAAGGCAATAATAGCTCTCGAATAAAAACTATTTTTAATCTATTTGTCCTTGCTTTAATTGTCCTATATCTTCTGCCCGAAGGCAGCAGTTCTGATCAGGATGTGTCAAGTCCTGCAAAATGTTCTTTGCTTTTTTCAAACATCGAGAACTATACAATTCCTCCAGGAATGGAAGAGGGCAGCCAATGATCTTCTGGGCTGTAATAACAACTCTCTGGAGTGCTTTCCTCTCCACAGTCGTACAACTGGCAAACCAGGCACAAACACAATATGTTAAAATGCTCTCTATTGAGCAGCGATAGAAGAAGGACATCAATGTTTTCTCACTCAAGTTATTTTTCTTTAAAAGTCTGAGAAAAAAGAGCCTCTGCTGGGCCTTCTTCACCAGAGCAATGGTGTTAGCGCTCCAGGTCAAATTTTGCTCAATAGTCACTCCCAAAAACTTAAACGTAGCCACCCTCTCCA